ACGAGTTTATACTGGAGTGTCCCGGCCCAGAGATGAAAACAGTATTTTATATTAGACTGAATTTGCGCTTTGTAAAACTGCAAGCGGTGGTCCGGTATGAAATACTGTCTCGATCTACTGAGCACTCCAAGCTTTTTTGATGCCAGTTTAGCCTTCGTTTTCAAGTGACTACGAAACTGTACGTCTCTCGAAATTTCGACGCCAGGGATTCCGGTGCTGGCTGAGTAACAAGAGGAGTGCCCTGAAATCGAGGAGTTACAACAAAGGGGCTCTCTTTTTGCGGTAAGCGCGCAAAATTGTGTCTTTTGAGGGCTTAATTTTAGTCGTCTCCAATGCGAGACTTTGTTTAACAAATACTCGTTACCAGACACAAGTTTCCTCTGACACTCGACGACGTGATCCTGAGAAATATTAGTACAATGAATGTTACTAGTATGGAACATATCATTGATTTGCAGAAGAAAAAGGGTAGGTAGCGTGCAGCCTTGTGGACCACCAGCATTTACATGATTGGATTCTGAGCATGAACCGTTTACTACGATCATAATATTCTGACCTGTAAGAAAACTGGTGACTCAATTGCATCATTTCTCGGGAAGCCCATAAGAGGGAAGCTTCGAAAGAAGTGATTTGTGCCAAACCGATCAAAGGCCTTCGCTATGTCCACTAACCGCCATGGCCTCCCCCTAGGTCTCAACTGCCTCAGTCCATCAGTGAGTCAGGTAGATAAAAAGAACACCAGCTGATCGGCCTCGATGGAAACCATACTAACGGTCTCTAATCAGGTCTTCTCTTCAAGGTTCAACTCTTCAAATTACTGCATGAGCATGCAGCTAATAAAAGATTCCATTATTTTGAAGAATAAGCGGGTTATAGCCATATGCTTGTAGTTTGACGGGTCCGAGCGGTTACCTTTCTTAAGAGTCGGGTGCACTAAAACTATCTACCATAAGCCTGGAACGAGTAAGAGAACAGGAAAACACGTCTTCAGCACAATTGCGGGGATTCCATTAGGCCCACTCGACTTGTTGACGTCCAGAAACAGGAGCGCTTTGCGTACCGAGCGCTATGTAAACAGTACATCCGGCATGAATTGCACCATGGTCGGCGTTATGTTCCCCAGTCGTTCAGAGTCGGGTTGGATGCAAAAAGAGATTCTAAAAGATCGGCTTTCTCATTTACGGCGTGGTCAAGCGAGTCATCCTCCTTGCACAAAGATGGTAATGATGGCTTACAGAAATTCCCTTGGGCAGCCTTGGCGAGGGACAAGAACGGAGTTCTTGAAGGAAGGCGATCTAGTTTCTCGCCAATTCTCCCAATTTGCTCCGACTATTCCGACTTTTAGCGATAACTTATTTGAAGGACCTGGAGGCAGAGTAATACTTCTTTTTTAATACGCTAGTGGTGGACAGATGAACCGGGACTCTGATGCGTTAGCCCCGGCCTTGTAACACTGATTTCTGCGAATCAATTTTGCAAGAGCTTCTAAACCAAGGCTGGGATTTGCTGCCGATAGGCACTACAGCTGACAGGATAAAAAGTTCCATCCATTATCACCAACCATATGCCAAGGCAAAGTCGTAAACAGATTTTCCCGCATGATTAGGCATAAGGACCGAGCCATTCGGCGTGTTGTACGTTGAAACTTGTGCGTTTACCGTGAAATTCCGTGTTTCATTTTCGCCAACGAAATAGTCGGTTACCGATTGTCTGATCGAAAAAAGTGTAACGCTTAACGTTTTTGTTACACCAAGTAAATTCAATGCCATCAAAAACACAACTTGTAAAAAAACCAAGTGTCGCAACTCAGTTCTTCTACCGTAAAAAGTTGTGAGATCCATGTAATACCAAGTCGGTTAATTCATTCAGTCCCTACTTAAGGGTCCTTCTGTTTTAAGTTATTACGTAATTAGCCAACCTAACAACATTTTATAGTGACCATATCAATGTTAAAAATCTTTTATGTTTTAAATATATAGATTGATTGATGGCCATCGCATGAAAACAAAATGTATCTCAAGTTATACGTATTATATTAAATTAGATTGCATAGTGCGATTGCCAAGTCAATCTATGTATATATTTAAAACATTTAAAGCACTTGAATGGAACTAAAACTAAATGTATGAAATTCGTAACTCCTAAAGTTAAACATATCAATAATAATGCTTCAATGGCTCCCCCATATATCAAAACTAGCTAGCAGACTTAGTTCTGCAGCATATGCTGTAAAAAAGATTAGAACTCTTACCAGTGTTGAAACAGCTAGAATAGTTTACTTTAGTTATTTCCATAGCAATATGTCGTATGGTTGGTATGGTTTTGCTATGGGGACACGCGACTGACACTGAAATTATATTTATTTTACAGAAGAGGGCCATTAGAGCAATATATAATTTAAAACCAAAAGAGTCACTGAGACAAAAATTTAAGGAAATTAATATATTAACTCTGGCCTCTCAATACGTTTATGAAAATTTAATGTACGTACACAAAAATAAAATTAATTTTGCGAAAATAAGTGACATTCATTCTGTAAGTACTAGGAACAGACACAAGCTGGTAGTACCAGTTACTCGACTCCACCGAGTCAGTAATTCATTCTTGGGGCGATGTATACGCTTTTACAACAAAATCCCAGAAAATATACAAAATTTGTCATACACAAAGTTCAAAAATGTTATTAAACTAAGTTTGTATAAAAAGGGTTATTATAATATTAAGGAATTTATGGATGATAATGACCCCTGGGAAGGGTGATCGCTACCAAGCTATTTCTAATTTGTCTTGTGTTGTTAATTGTAAACATGATTGTAAGCTATTATTGAAAAAAAAATTAGTCCCGCTGGGTTTCTTGCTGGTTCTTTCCAGGACAGAGCTTTTTTTTTGCGAACCACTGGTAAATGAAAAAAGTGACTTTCAATAAGTATTGTTATGATCTACATTGATAAAAAAGTTTCTTTTTCTGTTTCTGTTACCGCAGTTTTAGCGGTAACTTGACCGTAGACCGTCGACGGTTGTAGGCCCTGTTTTATCATTTAAACAATGGTTTGAAGTAGATTTTTATAAGTAAAAGTGATGCAACTCTATGCATTTAGAGTCTGTGCAGGTAAAATATTCGAAAAACGACGAAACAAATATACAAATCTCAAGTTATTTTGATCACTTACGCACCTTATGAACTTGAATGACTGTCGTTCTCGACTGTCCCCTGGGTTAAGCTGTTGTCAAAAACTTCGCAATGTGACGCATCAGCATATTGTGAATAAAATAATGAAACATGGCTTAAAAGATAAACATCAAAGCCAAAAATGTTAATAAAATAAAAACTATTTCTACGGTTTACGCAACCATTACCCATGGACCTAGAAAAATGGGCGAACAGTCTCGCTAAGATACAATTGACGCACCGCAATGGCGGCCGTTTAACTATGTGGGAGTAACTACGCGAGCGTGGATTAGAGCGTATTGCGGGCGCTAGACTTACTATGGTGTGCATGTGTGCGTACCGGCTTGTTTGTATTAGCGAACTGACTAAGACTGTGGGTGCTGACTGACTATGGGTGCGTCAATAATTGTTTTAAGAGACGGCGTCTGCCCTTTTTTTTAGGTCCATGCCATTACCTTCAATTACCTTTATGGAGTGTAGAGGTAAGGAGTACAGATTCTGCATAAAAAAGTGTCCCTAGGAAAGCGCTAAATAAGGGTGTCAGTACAGTCTAAATTTTAACACTTTTTATATTTTTTTTTGTTGCGCAGACTTTCACCATAATTCTTTTTACAATAATTATTTTATTGCTTTCAAATTTTTAAGCTATTGCATAGCTTCTATCGCGGGCCTTGAGCGCGGGGACCGAATCCAGAAATTCCGTAACGAAAAAAACCTCACGCTCCCCACTCCGACGGGCATGGAGGTGTGGCGTTGAAAGCCGTGCATCGTCTAACGTCGTTTCAGTTCGGCAGACCTCGGCACTCGGCAGACTTCGGCACGGTGTTTGTGTTCGTGCGACTAGACGTATGCGTGTACACTAGATGCTAACTCAATGATAAAAATTCCTTAATAACCTACATGTATTGTAAGATATTAAAAAATATTTTAAACAATATTAACTTCTCATTTATTCAATAAGAGAAAAAAATTTGTTTTCTTATCGGTCACCACGCTCAAAAAGTGTAACTTGATTTAATATCAAAGACTTAACTGCATAAATAAAATAAATAAATAATTATAATTGCATAAGTTGATAAAAAAATGCTATGCAATAGCTTTACCGCGGCAGTCACCGAGTGCCACACGTATTTTTTATTTTCAAAACTCGCAGGGTATTTTACAGCGATTTATCATACCCTGTAGCTACTCGAGCGCTATTGTGGAACGTTTTTGAACTATTATTTACTGCTTATAGATGGACACATTTTCAACTATTTTCCTATGGGAGATTGTCCTCCTTACCTCCATACTCCATGATTACCTTGCTGCATATCTATTTATCGAGTTTTTTGGCGAGAACATGACCGTCGACGGACCGTCGCTCCTGTTTTGTCACTTAAATAATAGTTTGAAGTGGATTTTAATTCGTAAAAGTGATGTGATTTTGTGAATTAAGTGTCTGCGCGTGTGAACTACCTATTAGAGAAAAGGACGAAACAAATGCTTTGATGTTGATATAAACCTCAAGTTAATTTGATCGCTTGGGCGCCTTATGAACTTGAGTGTCAACTGTCAACAGTCATCAACAGTCCGCTGGGTTGAGCTGTCGTCAAAATCTCCCAAAAACTTCGCAATGTCACGCATCAGCATATTGTAAAATATATAAAATGAAGATTCTGAAAGAAATGATAGACTCAGAAAGGCTAGAACCCAGAGCAGTAAAGCTAGTTAAATAAAAAATATCTGTTTATCTATGACCATTACCAACCTAAAGGCAAAAAGCAAAACTTGTGAATGTGAAATTGTGGTTTATGATATCGGTGATATTAAAACGTTTAGTTTTAATAACATGGGAACAGAAATTGCAATATCTTTTAGTTCATTACGTACACAACTAGAAAATGAAAAAAGTAGTTTATTTAAAATAGACGAAAACATCAAAAAAATTGTCCAAACCTCTGGAAGATTTCCTAACGATAGGTTAGTTAATCAACAAATCAATTATAGATATTAAATATATTATTTAGCAGGTATACATTTAATCAATTGATTATATAAATTTCATTATTGTTTTAAGGTTTAATCCAACCGGACATTATACGAGAGGTGGACACCAACAGATAGGTGGACGAAATTCCTTTTCAGATTACAAAAATCAAAAAAATGATGACCAATTTGGAAAACGAAAAAATGAAACTAAAACAGTGTTCAGCAGGTATTTAGGCATGATTAATTAACTTCAAATCGATAAATTACTATACTTTACATAATCTACAACAAAGTGGGTTTTAGTGTTTAAAGCAGTGTTAGAGTCGTGTTTTATTGAGACTGCAATCATCATCATCATCACAGCCCTTCACAAGTCCACTGCTGAACATAGGCCTCCCCCAAGTAATGCCACAAAGCACGGTCCTGAGCCACCTGCATCCATCGACTTCCTGCATATCTTACCAGGTCGTCACTCCATCTAGTGGGGGGTCGCCCTACACTACGCCTACCGGTACGAGGCTGCCATTCGAGAACCTTTCTTCCCCATCGGTTATCGGTTCTTCGAGCTATGTGGCCGGCCCATTGCCACTTCAGCTTACTAATCTGTTGGGCTATGTCGGTCAATCTGGTTTTACTGCGGATATCCTCATTTCTGAGTCTATCACGCAGAGAAACTCCGAGCATAGCCCTCTCCATAGCTCGCTGAGCGACCTTGAGCGTCCTCATACGGCCAGCAGTGAAGGACCACGTCTCTGATCCGTAAGTCATCACTGGCAACACGCACTGGTTGTACACTTTAGTTTTCAGAGATTGAGGTATACCTGACGAGAAGATATGTCGTAATTTCCCGAACGCTGCCCAGCCGAGTTGAATCCGTCGATTGACCTCTCGGTTGAAGTTGGACTTACCTAGTCGGAATATTTGTCCCAGGTAAACGTACTCGTCAACAACTTCGAGCATAGTGCTCCCAACAACTACCGGCATAGGTGTGACATGGACATTAAACATAATCTTTGTTTTGTCCATGTTCATCTTAAGACCTATCCGTTGGGAGGCACTATTGAGGTCATTGAGCATAGTGCTTAAGTCCTCCAGCGATTCTGCCATAAGGACTATATCGTCGGCAAATCGAAGGTGAGTGATGTACTCGCCATTGATGTTAATACCGTATCCTTTCCAGTCCAGTAGCTTGAAAACGTCTTCCAAAGCAGCGGTGAAGAGTTTCGGGGATATAACGTCACCCTGTCTTACACCTCTCTGCAGTCGGATAGGTTTCGAGCTCTGGTTCTGTACTCGGATAGCCATCGTAGCCCTACTGTACAAACACTTCAGCACTTCGATATACCGACAGTCAACTTGGCACCGCTGAAGGGACTGCAGCACCGCCCAAATTTCGACGGAATCAAAGGCTTTCTCATAGTCCACATACGCCAGGCAAAGTGGCAAATGATAATAATTAATCGTCGTTCATTTAGAAATACTGCTGGTTAATTTGTCACCCAGAGGCTAAGTATAGCGATTGAGCATGTAAACACTTCTTGGCACCATATGACAAAGAATAGGGATATGTGGTAAATTAAGAGTATTACTGTATTATTTCGTATTTCAAATCTAATATGATGTTCATTATCATGATCATCATTACAGTTCATCACAAATCCTCTGCTGAATGTAGGCCTTCCCAAAAAAGCATGATCCTGAGCTAACAGCATTCATCAACTTACTACATGTCTTACCAGGAGGTCACTACTATAGGGGACCGCCCTACATTTCGTTTACCGGTTCGAGTCTGTCACTTGAGAAGATTTCTTCTAAAAATCTGTATCATTCACTGTGGGAATGCAGTTTAGATGCAGCAAACACTAACCATATATATTTTAACTGCACCAATTGTCTGCGCCCTGACATCCCTCATCTTATAGACTAAATCCCTTTTAATCCATATAAACACCTCTTTTTTATATAATTTGTGATTTAATTAACTGCAGCAACATTGTAATTTGTTTGTCATATATTAACACATAAATATTGTTCTAACAACATTGTTTGTCTTTTGTTTTAGGTAATGCAACAGATAAGTTGGCCAAAATCCATCACATAATATCCTTAGTCATACTTTCTGGTATCAGCAATTTCCCTTTCTTATGCAGAGTTTGTATTCCAATTAATAGTGTTCACATGTAATATGTCATTGGCAAATTCAACGTGATGGCCATAAAAGAAGAACTTGAAGAAATTGGTCATAGCAAAAAGATTTGAATGTACACATAATTTTATTAGTCTTAGGGATTCTCTGCCAGATATAGCATTTCAAGAGTATACCAAATGACATTTCTTTAAAAGCTTGTCCATATGTACCACTTGAGTAGTCAGATTGGTGTATGCAGTGTTGATGATACGCTTACTCAATTCATTACTTGTACGACGTGTAGTGATGGGGTAAGAAAATCCATTACCCTATTTTTTTTACTACATGGTAGGAGACCATTTTCGGCTAGAAGTCCCTCTGGATACCACTTAATTTTGTTGTCAAAGATTAAATATCAGTGTGTGCGTACCTAGCTTTGTTTTGATCTGTAGAATATTGTAGTAGAAGGGAACCAGTACAATTACAGGCTATAAGGCATTCTGTGTTAGTCCTCAGAGATGATAATGCATCTGCTGCCTTACTTGTTTAAAGTTGGCTGCAGATGTCCACGGATTACCATGGACATCAGTAGCCACTTTCAGGGGGACTGTAAGATTGTTAATTCACTTTTTTAAATCCCATGGAGGAATGGTATTTACTAGATAAGATGTAACTGTTACAAGATAAATATTATAAATTATGAGATCAGTGCCGTTATACTCTGCCTATCTTGGCTTGAATTGCAATTTGTCAGTGTTTGCTTAATTTTTTTCATTTTATTCTTATTAGCACCATGAACTGTATATTTTTCATTTGTTTTGACATTTTCCACCATTGGTCTATCACTACATGGGATATCAGATCAGAGTAAGTACATCCACTACCCCATATTGAACCCATGAATGTCATAAGTGGTGACAGTGGGAGACTGAAATAGGAAAAGGCATCATCTTCCTCATAACAACTCTAAATAAAAAACTGTGGCTGCTAACTCACCTGCCTAGAGTGGCAACTATGGCGAAATTCCCCCTATCTATAAAAGTGGCCTTTGCAGTGGACTTTTACAGGCTGTAACGAATGGGATGGTCGGTGTACCACCAAAGTTTCTTTGTAAGTTATTAGTGTTACGGCCAATACATGACTCTGACATGTTATGTAGAAGCCATGTATTCTCAGTGTAAGAATATCCACTCTCCTATACTATCTCTTAGGTGTTGTAAGTGGCATTAGAATCTTCCTGATATCACATTTGTTTTTCTGTGCGCTCCTCATGTTCATTACCACTATTTATTCCTCCTCGGTTTCACAAATACTACACATAACTCTGTTATAATATGTCATTCTACCAACTTGTATTATAAATATTTTTCAGGAATAGATCTTTCTAGCCCTAATTCTAATCCTCAAAAAAACAAGAATCAGTGTAAAATGGTTTGTTAAAGTAGATTAATTGGCACTATTTGGTCTTTCTTTCTTTTGTTAATGTAAAATTTAAAGTATATATTGGAAATATGACTGTTTGTTGTCAAAATAAATAAAGAAAAAAACTAGAAATAAAAGACTGCGGATTTCAACTCCAACTTACAACCAGTCAAGCGTGGCAACAATGATAAAATCGCCCCTATTAGGCAATCTATAGGGGAAACCTATGTTCAGCGGTTGACCTTTAAATGCTGTTATAGATTGGTGGATGGATGGATATTATGTAGGTGAGGTTGGTATTAGAACAATTAAATTTAAAAAAAAATTATAAACCAGTTTAAAAAAATAAGTAAACTGGAAATTGTAGTTTTAATTCTTTGATATGCTATGTCTTAACACATACTTCTGTTTTTACTTTCTTAATTTAAGTTTTATTACTTGAACCATTTCAAATGAACTTAGCTATATCACGAGTTTAAGGTAATAAAGATTACTAGATTTTTTTCTAAATAGTTACATAAAAGCTTCCTTATTCCATTCTTAGGAGACCTTAGACTAGGCATGTCGATTCACTCTTAAAAAAATCGATCTCTCGAGGATTAAAAGATCGATTTTCGATTAATCGCGACATTTTCAAACATTAGTTTTCCAGAATTTACGATATGTTTTTAAATTGAACTTTTATAATTGGTACATGTAAGCGATCTTTGTTTGATGTTGTTAAAATTCACATCAGATTATGCTGTATGTTTACAGACCTTTACCTGCCTTGATTGCCGAATCGTAAAAACTACAACTAGTCAGTTTGATTTAGTTTTGAATTTGGTATGATTTTTTTTTTCATATTTCGATAGGCCATAAGCTTGATTAAACAAAACATAGTAAATTATTTTATTGATATCTAATTCCATCTATTATTTTATATTTAAACAATGAATTTAAAAATAAAATTATACAAATACATTAAACAATCTTAACGTAAATACTGCTTCAAAAAGAGTGAGACATCTATATAACATTTGGCTGTGGCCGGCAGTGTCTGTATGGGAACTTTATCGCTAGTTCTTGAATCAGATGAATCAGTCCGATTCGAGAGGTTTTTGGACCAATGAATCGTCATTGAATCGATGCGGTGCTCCAAATCAATCTAAAAATCGATTATTTTACTCCAGATAATCGTAATAATTTTTCAATTAATCGATTTTAGGTCGACATGCCTACCTTAGACTTAGACCTTATAATTTAATATACCAGAATCATTAAAATTGGTTCACAAATAGAAAAGACATATCATAACATACATATGCAAAAATAAAAGCAAATGGTGGCTAGTCTGTAAAAATATCTAATCCCCTTACACCCCCACATAAATTTTACTTTAAGGTTATCAGCAAGAGTCCAAGACAGTGATGGTGAGGATGATGGCCCAGGTATCAAGAGAGCTAAAGTACCATCAGCAGTTAGTCGGGAACTACCATCAAGAGCAGCAGTTCTTAGGGCGCAGGGTGATGATGAACAAGCGAGGACAAGGAACCGACGAATATTCGGATCGCTGCTTGGAACATTACAAAAGTTTAAACAGGAAGAAATTGGTTTGCAGACAAAAGTAAGTAGTTCTTGACTGTGATTTTCAAAGTTTAATGATTCAGGGTCAAGTCCAAAGATATACTTGGGTAGTTGATAAATTCATTAATAATTAGATCGTCTTCAAATGAAGACATATCATATCATCATCACTAGTTTTGACGCAAAATTATACAGGAGCTTGATATGCCATTGTGTTACCATATCTGTATTTTAGTACTCTATTGTGATACGACCATATTATTCGATACCTGATACGCCGCATCCCAACTCTGGTCGGTTCTTCCGCCATCATTAAAGGATGCTAACACAACATGGTCAGGTACAATTTCGTTGAAACTTAGGTCCATACTTAATATTCAAGTACTGATCTACAGGGTGATTGCAAGATTGGTGCATAGCTGTAAGAGAAAGCTAGTCTAGACCATTTAGAAACATTTAGGCCATAGTTATGTTAAATGAAGTCCGACTATATTTTTTAACGATTTTTTTTGTTTTTGTGATAAAACCAAAAATTTTACAGTTAATTGCTAATAACCATTTTTATTGATAAATGTTTTTTTATTGAATAAAACTAAATTTACGGATTTTATCGCGTTTATTTCACTACTTTTACTTATTTTTAATTCCCGACGTTTCGGGTGCTTTACAGCAACCATGGTCACGGGGGGACTCCGAGTCCCCTTAGATAAAATCCGTAAATTTAGTTTTATTCAATGTGTAGTGTTCGCGTAAATTGCTAATAAATTATTATAAATGTTTTTTTTTTAATTAAAGTAATATGTAAGTCATGTAACAAAACACAGTCCAAGCATCTGTGTCATTAGATTTTTTTTGTACAGACATTAAGTTCATGAAAATTTTCAAGGATTAGAAAAAAACAGGTTTTTGGCGCTAAGTTAAAAAAAAATGGATGTTGCTATTTTTGTTCAAACCTTTTTGAAAATACACTTGGTTATTACTAGAGATGGACCGAATATTTATTTCACCAAATACAAATATTCGGCCAAACATTATTCGGCAGGATCACCTCGATACCTAACCAATTTATGTCGAAACTTGTTACCGTAAAGCGCGCAGGATTAGCGCCGGACCCTGTCCCTCGCTTCCCCGCCACACTTGACATGTTATTGTATCATCTAGTACTGAGCAAATTGCCGGCACATGCTTGTTTTGACTATTTTGTGAGAAAAAAAATTATTTAGTTGTGTAATTCTTAGTGAAAATTGATAATTATATAATAAAAATTAGCAGCAGGACATCCTACTATTTGGATCTATTTTAGAGAAACTGACGACCATAGTAAACTGTAATTTATTAATGTAATGTTAATCATTGGAATTTCTCAAAATCTTAACACTGAGCGATTCATTGAGTTTACATGCCTTAATAACTCCTTTCCCTTTTCACCATCAGATAATCAGGCGGTCGGTGGGTCTTCAACCCTTAATTGTCGATATACCACACATTCGAACCAAACGGTTGGCTTCGACTGTCATAATACTTACTGCAAAGGATTGAAATAATTTACTGGCGTCTGTTTTTCCATCCGATTACAAACTGGGCCACATTCTTGAAAGCAAGAGTGAATAGGCTTTTGTTACGCTAATACAGTTCTTTTTTACCACCTATACCCATACCACCATTACCTCATTTTCATCACTACTTAACATCAGGTGGGATTGTAGCCAAACAGGCTTATAATAAGTAAAACAAATTGGAGGTTGGGCTTCATGTACAGTGGTGGTCATATAATTAAGAACGCTGATATAAAGGGAAGATTTTTTCAAACTAAGACGCAAAACTAATTGCATGCAAGTTTTTTTTATTTCTCTCGGTATTGTAAAACTTTTCCATGATAGCACTGTATTCATTGATACACATGATTAGCTAAAAATAAATAGACGAACTTTTCACACTACTTCTAAACATAGTATTTCTATTTACTGAATGGTCACGTAATTAAGAAGCTAAATAGTTTATTCAAATTTAAATAGAGAACACTGTCGATTTGTTATTGTTTGTATAATTTTGGCACCATTTAGTGCTGTAAAAGATTGAATGTGATTGCTTCTTGTGAAAAAACAATAGGAAAAAATAAAAGTTGTGATAAATCTACAAGGGAATTAATAATAAAACTTTACCGGAAGAATCGGTCTTATAAAAAGATGACTGATCATCTCCAAAGTTCAAAAACGATAGTTTTCTACGCTGTTAAGCATTTTCCTACGTATCAAATTACTTTGAATATTCCACGTGAACCTAAACAGAGAAAAACAACTCCTCGAGATGACTGAAACATCGTTTGTAAGGCAAAACAAAATCCTTTTAAAGGGTCCAATGAGCTGAGAAAAGAATATTTTGGTGAAAACAACCCTTCAGCAATCTCAGCAAGCACTATTCGAAGACGTTTAGTAGAAGAAGAATTGCGCGGTAGGATAGCAAGAAAGGTACCCATGTTGAAACTTTGCCACAGGCAAGCCTAAGCTAAGCCAAGCCAAGAGAAAGTATGAAAACTGAACTGTGCTACAGTGGAAAAATGTACTTTTTCTGACGACACGAAAATAAACAGAGTGTGTTCTGATGGAAAACGATATGTACGTCGTCAATACAGCATTCAACCCTAAGTATACGAAAGTTACATTAAACCACGGTGGCGGAAATGTGAAAATTTGGGGGTGCTTTTCTGAACATGGTGTTGAACCTGTAAAGGTGATAGAAGGTGACATGGATCAGTTCCAATACAAAAAAATAAACTGCAAGAAACAATGCTGAAGACGTTCTATCGGTTATTTGAACATTCCAGCACGACAATGATCCAAAGCACACTGCACGCACCGGAAAGGAATTTCTTACAGCGCAATCAGTTTCTGTCTTAGACTGGCCAGCTAACAACCCAGATCTAAACCCAATAGAGAATCTGTGGTTCGAAGTAAAGAAAAAGGTTTTAAATACACAATGTGGGAATTCAGGAGAGCTGTCCGAGGTTTTTTTTAGAAGAATGGAACTTTATTTCTCTTGCGAAACGTCAAAAATTAATAGAGTCAATGCCTCACCGGTGTAAAACAGTAATTAAAAGCCGTGGATATGCTATTGACTATTAATTTTAGTTAAAAATGCATTAAATTGCTTTTTAAATTTTCCGCGCTACATAATATTGTGATTTTTTAAATGTAAATGTCATACAAAATAATTCCCGAGCAGATTAATAAATCGTTCTTAATTATTTGTCCAGTTACAGTACTATTTGAATGTGTTACTATGGTAAAATAAGTTAAAAAAATATTAGCGATTTTATTCTTTATTCCTAAGCCACGTTGCTCTATTAATGTGGCTATTTTATAACATAACTAGTTGCTTCTCAGAAGGTACACATCTCTGTGTATGACATGATTTATACAAAAAGCTTCTAAAACTTCAAATCGTTCTTAATTATGTGACCACAACTATATTTAATGAAAAGCAATAAAAATTTTATAACTTAAACTGCACACATTGTTTGGCTCTATTTGCCTTATTTATAATTTACAGGAAGAAAAGAAAGCACAAGTCGAACGTAAAATAGAGGAACAAGCGCGCTTAGAAAAAGAAAGGGAACAAAAAGAGAGAAAGACATTATTTGCTGAGAGAGAACATAAAAAAGCTACAATTAAGGCTTTGGAAGCAAAGATGGCACGCGTGCAAGAGTTTGAGAAATGGGAGGCTTCACAGAAGAGTCTTGCAAACTTCATTCTTACAAAAGCAAAGCCACATGTCTATTGGCTGCCAAAGAAAATGACGGATAAGGCCACTGAGAAATTAAATTCAAGCAGAAAATTCCATGAAAGTAAGCTATATGTATATATTCTTATCTTGTGGTATATTTTTATTTTTTATTAATTATATCTAAATAATATCAAAATCCCCCACCAATGAATATTGATAATCGCAATTTTAATCTAATTACCACGTGCTCGGCGGTGAAGGAAAACATCTAGGAAACCTGCATGTCTGGAAATAAGAAACATTTCGAAGACTTGTGAAGTCCGCCAACACGCATTGGAGCAGCATGGTGGACACTTCCTTGCCGCTAATACCCTCTCAGAAATGAGAGGAGGCCTGTGCCCAGCAGTGGGACGTATATAGGCTGTAACTTTACTTTTTTTATATCTAAATAATTTCAAAATACATAAGTATTGTGATATTGCATTAATAACATGTCTGAGTTGCAGAGTAAAAGGTAATTATTATACATCTATTCTAAATGACATTTTGTCAGTTGTTACTTTAATTTATATCTTGATTATTTTTCCAAGTACCACCAGTTTACCTGCCAGCTACCACCACCAGTATCTACACAACATTCAACATAAAAACATAATAGGTACACATAACATTTGATGTAACTTTTCCTTCACACTTTCATCAGGCAAAAATTGAGGAATTAAGGAAAAATTGAGATTTTACTAAAAAAAAAATTGTTATTTTTCATTGAATTTACGTTCTATAAGTGAAACCAAACCACTGGTTTCAAGGACAACGGTGTTTACACTAACACCCTGTATAGTATAGTATAGTCTGCTTTCATATATTTTACAAAATTTGGAATAACCTAAATAAAATAGAAAATCATGGGGAATTGCTATTCCTCCCACACTATGGTGGGTGAAGTCGGTGGACATACTAGTTGTCATTCTGGTTTTCCATAGTTATTAATAGTGTCAAATATTTAGTGTTAATTTATTATAACATTGTCTTACAGCTTAATTCTCGGGTATTACAATATTTCTTATATTTTTGGGCCTGTGCCAAACGTAAGATACATTCTGAATTAAAGTTATAAAAGAACACTATTTTAATTTTGTAGATATTCTTCCAAATTGTAAAAACAGCTTTGTACTATATGTACATATAGCGTTTGTATTATACATGGTAGAGCCACACTGCAGCTATAATATTGTTGTAGCACGAATGCGGCCGGAAGACGGACTACACTCACAGAATACAATCACAGAATACTAGCGTAAAATAGCAGCTTAATGCGCTGTGTTTCGTATAGTGACTGTAGAGATCCAGAGACCCTTTTTTTTAACTTGAAACGAAGCATTCCATATTAGTCCTCAGGGCTAATAATGTATCTATCTGCATTTTGATTCTTAATCGACGATAAATATGTCTAGAAGCCACAGCATCCACTTACCATCAGGTAGACTGTGTGCTTGTGTGTCACCCTCATTCTGTAAAAAATATTTTATTCCTCATTCGCGCTCTTTATTTCTCGCGTTCTTTATTTTATACCCATGTAATTTTTAGCTTATTAGCAGTAATTAATTTATAATTTACAGCTAAATATGGTCATTTGTACCGGAGTAAGTAATGTTATATTTCACTTTTTCATCTTCATCAGCTTTTTTCACTCTTAGGCATGGGTCTTCCTTATTGTGAGAGGAATTAGCCTTGTTTCCTTTATGTGACAATCCCAAAACATTTAAAATACAAGGTGTAAAGAAAAGCTATTTTCTTTCATAAAATTTAAAAAGTTTCTGTCCGACACCGTCCGTAAATTCATGGATACCCTGTGCGCCCGAGTGACGTAATCACTGTAAAGATCACCGCCCGCGCTAGCTACCTACATAACATTCCAATAAAAACACAATAGGTTGTCGTGAAGCGACAATTAAAAACTAAATAACCTAACCTAACTACAACAAAACAACCAAAAATAAAATAAATTATTTAAAAATTTGAAAAGATTTACAGTTTCTTTTATAAAAAAAGGTATGAAGGTGATGATGGGCTGTAATGATGATAGTGATTTACAATATTATTAAAAAAAATAACAAAAATAAAGATACTGCAACGAAGTATGCACAGGCTATGCCTATGATAGGTGCACAGCGCCTGCTCTAGGTACACGCAGAATCTGGAGAAAGCACATGCAGCGTCTGGAGAAGGTACACGCAGCGCTTGGAGTAGGCACACGCAACGCCCGGAGCAGATACACGCAGCACCCGGAGTAGACACGCAGCGTCTGGAGTAGGTACACGTGGCGCTTGAAGTAGGCAAACACAACGTCCGGAGTAGACACACACAGCGTCCGGAGTAGACACGCAGCGTCTGGAGTAGGAACACGCAGCGCTTGAGACAAGCACGCTCAGCGGCCGAAGATAGCGCGGGCACTAATAGGTGGAGGCGTAGGCGTGGCTAGGCGACGACTTCAGGAGAAGGCTTGCAAGATCCCGAGGCAGTGCGGATAAAGCCTTTAAGAGGTGCTTCTCGTATCAAAGCTGAAGTGAGGACCTCTATCGGCCGATTCTTCGGCTTTTATACCTTTTGACGGATCTGGGATAAGAACGAGAAATTATTTGAAATTATTTAAATTAAAAGCAAATTTTTGTAAATGGCCAAGAAGAAAAGAGTATTTTTGAAGTAAAAACATCAGGCCGGTAACGATATTTGAATAAAAATTGCCATGACAACCAGATAAACAACGATGTCAAAACATGTCAAATTTTGGTTTTAGGCTCGTAATAGAGAAACGGCAAGATTTAAGTGAAAAATTAGATATTATTTATATAGGAAAAAAAGGTAGCGCAACAGTGCGCACGAAGCCCGAAATTGCAGAGTTACGGAGAACTAAATAAAAGATCGAAAAAGGTAGACTCCATTGACACCGATTTAAAAAGTGCTGATAACGTGAAAATACGAAGTGAAAATGATTTGTTATTGTGTTCTTATGGTTTAAAAACATTACAGGATCCTATGAAAATAAAGGTGATGCAAAATATCCAGTTTGAGGCGAATGCAGAACATCAAAAACAGAAAGGAAAAATAAATTTAAAATAATGTAAAATGATATGTAAGTAACATAACACTACATTTTCCCCCCGACCCTGGAAAATTTTTGACTCAGCAAAAATTTTGATATGTACATTCTAAAACAAACCATAAAAACACAGCTTTGCAGTAACAGACATCACCAGGCAAAATCAGATATACCATCTCTTACATTCATCATCTGCATTCAGGTAAGGGTGGAGTTCACATTCAATGACTACCACTCTAAAAGTGTGTTTTCGAAAGGACATTCAGGCTTATTTAAGGAGTTGTCATCCGCTCCTGCGTGGAAAAAAAAATTCGAAAGGACATCCAGGCTTATTTAAGGAGTTGTCATCCGCTCCTGAGTGAAGATAAAGTTAAAGAAATTAATCTTAAGCAAGCTTTAGTCGCTATGACTTAAGTAAAGATTAAGAACGGCCAGAGCGGTAGGGCTCAAAGCCAGAGATGAGCAACATCACTAAAAGAACATTCAGGCTTATTTAAGGAGTTGTCATCCGCTCCTGAGTGAAGATAAAGATAAAGAAATTAATCAGGTAACAATTATACATATATACAAACATATATACAAATATACAAATATACAAACATATATACAAATGTAGTGTCATGCAAAACAGTATTAGCTGGTTTCTCACATCTAATCTTCACTTCGTATTTTAAGGAATTCGTACTTAATAACCCTTTTCATTGTTATAATTAAGTGCAAAGTTAAGTTTAAGAAATAAAAATTTAATTAAAAATTGTACCTCTTTAAGTTATCTAGAATAAAAATATAAAAGTGATGAATGAAGTGAAGTGTTATATGTAAGTCTAAATATAATCCAGATAAGTTGAAAAACTAGATGAAGTTTTGTTTTAGAATTTGGAAGATAGTACCTCTTTAAGTTCTCTAGAATAAAAATATTAAGGTGATGAATGTAAGTTTTATATGTAGGTCTAAATATAATCCAGATAAGTTGAAAAACTAGATGAAGTTTTGTTTTAGAATTTGGAAGATAGTACCTCTTTAAGTTCTCTAGAATAAAAATATTAAGGTGATGAATGTAAGTGTTATATGTAGGTCTAAATATAATCCAGATAAGTTGAAAAACTAGATGAAGTTTTGTTTTAGAATTTGGAAGATATGATAAGGATGAGTAAATAAAGAGTTAAGAACGAAAGAGAAAGCAATTCAATCAAAAGGAAATGGATAAGGCGTAGCTAAGGTGAAGAAAAGAAGAACTTTTACGTCGGGCGCCAAATTGTCGTGAAGCGACAATTAAAAACTAAATAACCTAACCTAACTACAACAAAACAACCAAAAATAAAATAAATTATTTAAAAATTTGAAAAGATTTACAGTTTCTTTTATAAAAAAAAGGTATGAAGGTGATGATGGGCTGTAATGATGATAGTGATTTACAATATTATTAAAAAAAAATAACAAAAATAAAGATACTGCAACGAAGTATGCACAGGCTATGCCTATGATAGGTGCACAGCGCCTGCTCTAGGTACACGCAGAATCTGGAGAAAGCACATGCAGCGTCTGGAGAAGGTACACGCAGCGCTTGGAGTAGGCACACGCAACGCCCGGAGCAGATACACGCAGCACCCGGAGTAGACACGCAGCGTCTGGAGTAGGTACACGTGGCGCTTGAAGTAGGCAAACACAACGTCCGGAGTAGACACACACAGCGTCCGGAGTAGACACGCAGCGTCTGGAGTAGGAACACGCAGCGCTTGAGACAAGCACGCTCAGCGGCCGAAGATAGCGCGGGCACTAATAGGTGGAGGCGTAGGCGTGGCTAGGCGACGACTTCAGGAGAAGGCTTGCAAGATCCCGAGGCAGTGCGGATAAAGCCTTTAAGAGGTGCTTCTCGTATCAAAGCTGAAGTGAGGACCTCTATCGGCCGATTCTTCGGCTTTTATACCTTTTGACGGATCTGGGATAAGAACGAGAAATTATTTGAAATTATTTAAATTAAAAGCAAATTTTTGTAAATGGCCAAGAAGAAAAGAGTATTTTTGAAGTAAAAACATCAGGCCGGTAACGATATTTGAATAAAAATTGCCATGACAACCAGATAAACAACGATGTCAAAACATGTCAAATTTTGGTTTTAGGCTCGTAATAGAGAAACGGCAAGATTTAAGTGAAAAATTAGATATTATTTATATAGGAAAAAAGGTAGCGCAACAGTGCGCACGAAGCCCGAAATTGCAGAGTTACGGAGAACTAAATAAAAGATCGAAAAAGGTAGACTCCATTGACACCGATTTAAAAAGTGCTGATAACGTGAAAATACGAAGTGAAAATGATTTGTTATTGTGTTCTTATGGTTTAAAAACATTACAGGATCCTATGAAAATAAAGGTGATGCAAAATATCCAGTTTGAGGTGAATGCAGAACATCAAAAACAGAAAGGAAAAATAAATTTAAAATAATGTAAAATGATATGTAAGTAACATAACACTACAAGGTACACATAACCTGTGATGTAACTTTTCCTTCATACTTTCATCCTGGCTTAGGACAGGCAAAAATTGAGGAATTAAGGAAAAATTGAGACTTTACTAAATAAATTGTTATTTTTCATTGAATTTGTGTTCTATAAGTGAAACCAAACCTTGTAGACCTGTACCCTGTAGAAACAAAGTTAATAATTATACTTAAATAAATATTTATACTTTTTACATGGAATAAAAACAAAACTTTATTCCATTAACTTAACTAAATAAACAAAATAGTTCAGTCTTAAAGCAGTGTTGATAACCTTTTTTAACTGGTAAATAGGCATTCAACCTTAAGCACATCTAAAAGATCCTTCTAGCATATTCCATAGCAATGTTTTCTCATTATTATTGCATTCCTTTTAAGAATATGCTACTCCTCATGTACTGTTTTAATTTTCCTCTGTCGCTTCTTACTATATCCATGGGATAATATGGGGTAGTTATTCTCTTAGCAGATGGAAGTTATTGAAAAGGAATGAGATTTTTCAATAGGAAGATAACAATTTTGTATTTAAGTATGAATAATTGAGATATCCAACAGAAATTTATTCCAGGTGTAGTACACATGTTACAATTATGTATGGAATGCGACGTTGTTCATATGACCACCACCACGGGTACGACGCCAGCGATCGATTCTTCGAATCCAATTTTTAATCACTCTTTCACAACTTTTAATGAACTTGAATGTTGGTAATTTCGCGTTCGATATTATTCCTGAGCTCCTCTAATGTTGTTGGATTGTTGGCATAAACCTTCGAATTAAGGTAACCCTATAAGAAAAAATCCAACGGCGTCGAAGCGCATGAGTGAGGTGGCCATTCGACTGGACCATTTCTTGAAATTAAACGATTACCAAATTTTACTTTTGATAAATCAATTGTTTGACCAGCTGTGTGGCTCGTGGCACCATCTTGTTGGAACCATATATCGCTGATGTCAAGTCTATCCAGTTTTGGCCAAAAACAGTCTTCCAACATAGCATGATAGTGAACTCCATTGACCTTAACATGGTCATTATTTTCATCGACGAAAATATACCCAGGCCCATACCTTTGGCATAAAATCCACACCACACGTTCACGGTTTGAGGGTGCAATGTAATCTCATGAACCACATGTGGTGGAAATGAACTTCTTTGTTCTTGAAAATGAACTTTTGCAGAACAAAATTGGATAAGTTTCAGCACTTTAAATGATCCTGAGATTTCAGATCTTGCGTTAGTTTGATCTTGCATGGATGTAGATGGAGATCTTTACGCAAAATTTGCCATAATGTGGACTGAGAAATTCTCAATTGTTGTGAATGGCGTGGAATCGACTCGTCTGGTTCATTTTGGACGCAACTCTTATGGCTGCAATAATTTCAGTATTTCAACTGGTGTGTTGTCTCACTAGCACAGGAAGATTCTAATAATTAATATGTTGATCTTTTAATTAATAAGTTAATTGAAATTTATTCACCATCGCACGCACAGCTAGCTGGTAGAACGAATTGAAATAAGCACTCTTTAAAGTTGCGACTCTGCTCTGGAAAGCATCTTCCGCAAACTAGATTGGAAAGAATACGGCCTCAGCGTGCTAGGTGAAAAACTAAACCACCTAAGATTCGCAGATGATATAGTCTTATTTGAGGAAAACCCAATGCATCTAAGTAAAATAATAGAAACTCTCAACGAAGAAAGTAAGAAAGTAGGCCTATGCATAAACAAAGACAAAACAAAACTGCTCACAAACTCCGAACCAGTAGTAATTAAAGTTGACAACCAACCTCTCGAATATGTGACGGATTACATCTACTTAGGACAAGTCATATCTCACAAAGATCAAACTACCAAAGAAATTGAGAGAAAAATAGGAAATGGATGGAAAAAATACTAGTCCTTCAAAGAAGTCTTGAAATCCAAGGAACTAAGTATGCAAATAAAAAGAAAAGTCTTCAACACGTCTATACTTCCAGTCATCACTTACGGATGTGAAACCTGGGCACTGATCAAACACCATAGGGAAAAGCTGGAACGCTGCCAAAGAGCCATGGAAAGAAGCTTGATAGGAATAAAGAAACAGGACAGAGTGAGATATTGCAAAATAAGAGAAAAAACCAAAGTTGCTGATATATTAACCCGAATAGACCAACAAAAATGGAGATGGACAGGTCACATGATACGAGATCCACAAGAGAAATGGTGTAAAACGGTCACAGATTGGTACCCTAAAGATGGCAAGGGAAGTAGAGGACGCCAACAGACAAGATGGGATGACGACCTAAAACTCACGGCGGGACATCACTGGAGAAGGGTAGCACGGGACAGGTCCCAGTGGAAAATGTTAGAGGAGGCCTATGCCAAGAGGCAAACTGAACTTCGGGAAATTTTATAAAAAACAAAAAAGAGATACAACATATATTGATTATATATTTAAGTTCAAATTAAAAGGGCTTATTATTATTATTATTATAAAGTTGCAACTTCAAACTGGAGGTGGGCAAAGTGTATCATTTTTGCAATTGGATTTTTTTTTGAACATTTGTATTAACAAAAACATTTGCATCTCGATCACTGTGTTTCATTTGGCTCATTTGGATCATCGACTCAAAAGATATAAAATACAGAATGTTACGAATACATATACAACTATCAAAGTTCCGTCGCGGGCGTTTATTACTGACTGATTCAGTGAAATGTTATGTGGCAACAATGCTGAATGATATAAGTGCTTGGGTTATTTTTATTGTATACTATATAGTTATTGTTATTTATTGTGTATCGTAATAAGGTTCTATATAAAATCGATGCTCCTTTATATTTTATCAGGCGTAGAACTGGCGGCTAGTCCTTAATTTATGGTCAGCTTGCGTATTATTTATGATGAAAAGGAAGAAAGTAAGTCACAATAATCACTAAGCAAAAAAATCCTAAACAGAAATCAGTATGTTTTCGTAAACAGGCGCAAATGAACATAAACAATTTGACAAGTGCCGGATCACCGTAAAATGACATCTTGTTAATTTAAACGTTATATGCTAAAGGCGACCGTATAATATCTGATACGTAAGCACTTTTGTGGTCATTTTTATGTGTATGGAATAACTATTGCGAAAATCCGTACGAGTTGAGTGATACACTTCTCATTTGTTATCTCTTTCTGACTTGTATAGATTGTAATTATTTCGCGCGCTCATTCGCTGCTCTCTCGTTCGTGGCTCAATCGTCTCGCGAGCGCGCGCGCGAGTTAAATGAACACAGAGCAAAGTAATGTTCCAGATCCAAATGATGCATTTGAAACGTTGTTACTGAACCAATCTTTGGGATCACTTCAGTAATTCGAATCAGTGGGTCAGTTCCGTAAAGAGTTACTCACGCTTACTCCCAACTCAGAATTTCTGTAGTAAGTTTTAACGATTTCCAAACGTTGCTCGTTCGTGAACTTCACCATGATAAAAATGTAAGCCTTGACTGAAGTTTTGACTTAGACAGATCATAAAAATGTTTGTAGGTTTTGTTCTGTATTATTATGTTCCGTATTATACAGGCAAGAATACCTGGCGTCACTCTCTGTCTCGCTCGCAATGGGTAAGGTGGTTCTCTACGTCTCAACCACTTTTGCGTCCATACCTGTCTCGCTCGCACTTGATAAAGTGACTAGCCGTCTGTCACTTTAGCGTCAATACCTGTCTCGTTTACACTTCTTTAGAATGACTCCTTCACTTCAAGCTACAATTTACGACCCTTTGGATAATCTTGGGTACATTATGATAATTTTTAACCAAGTAAGAAAAACTTCTTATAACTGGACTTTTACGAGAAAAAAAAAACAATGTCCATGATTGCAGCTACAATTTACGTGTTATACCATTTTGGAATCCTCACTAAATGCGCCAACTTTCGACGCTATTGGCCAAATTCGCGTAGTACAATTTTTTAATAAATTCAGTTAAATGTAGGCAATTTTTAATTTTGATTTTTTTTTAGAAAATAAGTCCTATTTTTAAGCAAGCTAGAGCAACTGGTTTTGAAATTTTGATAGCAGTTTAGAGAAGCATTATTTAGGGTTCAAAAAAAAATAATTGGAAAAGGAAAGGAAAAGTAAAGATTTGTGGCAACAGGAGTGAAAAGACTATCACAGGATGTGAAAATTTTCCGTTTTTTTTTTAAATGCCCATAATTTTGAAAACATTCAACTTAAATTTTTTTAATTTTTCTGGCAACCAGCATGACTTGCCTTTTCACTCGGTTCCGAGTTGACGTCGAGTTTTGGGACAACCTGTATATATTAAACAAAATTGTTATGTCCCTATTGAAAAACCCTGCATACACAGTTTGCAGTTTTAGAAACGAAACATTTTATTATATGATTAATCTATTTGAACAAATTTATTATTTATTTTATTATATGGTTACAACATTTGAACAAATGTATTGAAAAGAATAATTGAAGTAATTTTTATTTATTTATAGAATACATGATTAAAAAACGCCAAGAACTCCAAGATGAGCTTCTACGAATAGAACAGAGGTGCCTTCGCTCACGTGGCCCAGGAACAAAAGAGAATGAACCCAACAACACACATCATGAAGAAGAAAAAGAACATGAGAAAGCACCGCTTGAAAACTCTGAAGTGGTTATAAAGAACGAAGAAGAAGAAGATAAGGGGAGAAAGAGAAATAAATTCGCAATGGATGTTGACGAAAAGGAAAAAGAAGACAGTGATGCTGATGACAGACATGAAGAAGCTAGCACAGATAAGCCACAAGAAGCTAGCACAGCGAATCCACAAGAAGAAAACGGTTAGTATTCTCCATTTTCATAACTAGGTATATTTGACTGCCTCTTTGGTGTAGTGGTCGTAAACATAACCAAAAACAAGTTATTGGATTGATATTCTCAGTAGCAGCGCAGAGTCAGGGAATTAGCTGTTTCATCCTGTGCCTTGCCTTGGTAAGGAGCTCATGAAGCTGTGGGTCCTGCGACTGATTAAAGTCCCGCTGGGTTTCTTGCCGGTTTTTCCCAGGACAGAGGTTTTTTTTCACGAACTAGAAGTAAATTGAAAAAAGTGACTAAGTATTATTTATAATCTATATTTGTAAATGAAATAACGATTTAATTTTTTAAAAAAAACAATTATCACAAACAAACTTTTAATCAAATAATTTCAAAACAAAACTGGGCATAGGCTATTTTCTAATAATTAAATGCAAATTTAAAAATAAAACGAAAAATGTCGGTCACGCAATCAATCACTATCAACACGATGTGTACGCGTCGACGGCTCTCGGGCCAAATGGGCATGTCGCTGGGTGGCGCTGCCTTTTATAGGGGCAGATTTGTTTTCATATCTTCTCCTCCAATACGGCCTCTCCTGACAGGAGACCGTCCCCGGGCTCCTTTGATCCTTTATTCATTCCAGCAGAGGCATGGAAGGTCCCGGTCCTGCTGGCATAGGAACGTGGGGCGGCAACATCTCAGGCTCGACGTGAAGTGATGACGTCTCTGGCTCGACGTAAGGTGGTGACGTCATGGGCTCGACGTGAAGCTCTGATGCATCAACAGCAGCACTCCTCGGCTGCTGCACCCCAGACGTATTAGGCTGTGGCTCGGAGGCAGGCTGGCTGGCTGGCGAGAGAACCCCGGCAGAAGCGAGAGTTGACTCCTCGTTTTCGTGGTCTGAATCTGCACAAAACATTCAACAAATACCACCTGAGTCTACGTGACTCACAACTAAAATCCAAAATAAATAGCGCGCACTAAATTACTGAGAAAGAGGCACGACGTGAAGCGTTTCTCCAACAATTTAGTGTGCGGATGATTGCAGCTGAGAAAGAGGCACTACGTGAAGCTTATCTTAGCTTTTATTAACATTTCGTTAAAATAAATAGCGCGCGCCAAATTACCGAGAAAGAGGCACTACGTGAAGCGTATCTCCAATAATTTGGTGTGCAGATAATCTCAGCTAAGAAAGAGGCACTACGTGAAGCGTATCTTAGCATTTATTAAGTTAGAGGCACGACGTGAAGCATAACTTAATATCAGGTCAGGATAGAGGCACGACGTGAAGCTTGTCCCGACCACACACATGAATAACACATATGAAGCTTCATACATAACAAACAAGGGCCCAAAGTACTCACCACTGAAGTAAGCAGCACATACATCAGGAGTCCACTCTCCATGCCAAGGTATCATGTACTCCGCCGCCGCTTGAGTCGACTTCCCGTAGGAGCCGGTCAGGAGTCGAAGTTCGTAGCGCCCTTGTGGTAGCGTCCTTACGACGCGATAGGGGCCACGCATACACGAGTCCAACTTCCCAGCTGCTTGCGCCTGCTTTCTCACAAAGACCAAACTGTTTAGTTTAAAAGCCCGGGGAGGCTGCCTCCCCCGATTTACATAAGCATCTTGTTCATGCTGGTTCCGCTGAAGTCTTTCAGATGCTCTCTGCCTACTCATTTCACGCAGGGTTTCTCTATTAGGATTGCTGCCCTCAAGAGCCACATCGCGTACCAAGCTTCTTATGAGGGGCGTGGCTGCCTCTATTCCAATCAGTAAGTTAAGGGCAGAGTATTGCGTGGTTCGGTGTTTAGTGATGTTCAACACCAATTGAACTTTCCACATTACACTTGGCCATTAATTTTGTCTATAACTGGTTTCAACACAAATCATATTTAACACCGTTCTGCAATAACGTTCCACTTGGCCATTTGATCGGTGCATCTCGGGCGTTATAAAGTGAGTATTACAGCCCATAGTTTCAACCCAGTTAAGAAATTCTGCATTTTGGAACATACGCCCTCTGTCAGCTACTATTAGTTTTGGCGCCCCGAAAAGAGAAATGAGGTTGGTAAAATGTCTCTTCAGTTCGCTAACGTCTTGACGATACATAGGGTAAAGGAGACAGAATTTGGAGAATGCGTCGATAACTATCAAGACATAACGATACCCATCTGCTTCAGGCAAGGGACCAAGGGAATCCATATGAATGGTCTCAAAAGGGAGGTTTGGTTTTTCCCAAGAGTTAATAGGCTGGGATGAGGCCTTCGCTATTTTCTTATGAGCAATGCACACTAGGCAATGTGAAATATACTTTTGTGCGAAATATCGCAGCCCAGGGAACCAAAAGTGCTTGGTTATTAAATTGACCGTTTTATCAACCCCCAAATGGTTATGTTCATCGTGAAAGACACGAAGAAGGCTGAGTCGATGTCCTTTAGGAATGTAACAGAGGAAACGGGAAGGTTCTCCAGTAGGAGAATATTTCATATAGAGGATATCATTTTTGACCACATACCGTGTGGCATCTAATTGCCCATCGTTAAGTTTTTGTATAAGGCACCGAGTTTCCTCGTCGGCAGCCTGAGCAATCTGTGCCCAATTCTGAGGCTTCTGAACTGTACACACACTGACAGGGTTCCGACTCAGATAATCGGCGTGGGACATAAGAGTGCCTCTACGGTAATCTAAGGCGAAATCGAAGTCCTGTAGGTAGACCCACCAACGAGCCACCCTGGGAAGCAGGTCTCTCTTGCGTTGTGTGAGCCTTAACGCATTACAATCCGTAACGACAGTAAAACGCACACCCACAAGATAAGGTCGAAAATGCTGCAATGCTTTTACAACTGCAAGGGTTTCAAGCTCATACGAGTGATACCTATTCTCGGCCCCTTGTGTGAGCTTACTGAAATAAGCAACCACTCGCCTGTGGCCACCCTCGTGCACTTGCAGCAAAATAGCCCCGTATCCGACGGAACTCGCGTCCGTATGGACTTCAATCGGCAAGGACGGGTCATATACTGCGAGAACAGGCTCGTCAGTTAGGCATTCAATTAGGTCATTACGCGCAGCCTGTTGTTCCTTGCCCCAGTTAAATTCAACCCCCTTTTTAGTTAGAGCTGTTATACAAGCAGACCTTTGAGCAAAATTCGGTATATATCTGCGAAAATAACTGGCTAAGCCCAAGAACTGGCGAACCTGTTTCACATTTTTCGGTTCTGGGAACTCGACCAAGGCTTTGACTTTGCTAGGGCTCGGTCGCACCTGACCCTGGCTAATTTTACGGCCGAGGTACTCAATTTCTTCTGTTAGAAAAGAACACTTTTTTAAATTAATCGAAAACCCCGCTTCAGTCAAGGCTGTCAAAACTTGGTGCAAAAGGTCAAAACCCAGGTCTATTGTTCTACTCAATATCAGCACATCGTCGATATATACAAGTACATCACCAGAATCAATAAACTTTCGGAGAGTTTTCGATATAATACGCTGATACACAACCGGAGCATTGGCTAGGCCGTAAGGCATTTTTAGATATTCAAAATGCCCCTCCGGCGTGACAAATGCCGTGAGTGGAATGGACCCCTCGCTGACTGGGATCTGGTGGAAACCAGTAGCCATATCAAGACTGGTGAAGTACCTGTTATGACCTAATCGATCTATGTAGTCGTCTATACGTGGGAGTGGGAATCGGTCTTTAACAGTCACTTCATTTAACTTGCGAAAATCCACGCACATTCTGTCCGATCCATCTTTCTTTTTTACTAAAAGAATAGGGCTCGCGTAATCCGATTCCGACTCACGTATGATCCCCTTTGAAACAAGGTCACTAATTATTTCACGTACCCGAAGTATCTCATTGTGAGACATCCGATAAGGCCTGTAGCTAATGGGAGTGTCACTAGTCAGTCTTATAGTCATACATCCCGCATTGACAGTTGATGTCGCAGTACCAGAAATGAAATACTCAGAAAACTTGTTTATTATATCAAGCAAACGCTGTAGCTGGTCACCAGTTAACGGCGTGTTGACTGAGATTGACTTATCAGACTGAATAGCCATCACTCTCTCGCAATTAGTCGCTTTCCTAGTTAACGATTGAGAATCTCGGGTGCGAACATATTGAACACCTTCCCTATTGAGTACGTCAGTTCCCACAATAATAGGCGTATTCATGAACTTGGACTCCACCACGAACAAATCTACTTCGAGCGTTAAGCCGTCAAACTCTATTGGCAGTGTTACGTAGGAGGTAGTCTCAAGTTCCTGACTACCCAATCCGCGTAAAATGCGAAAACTAGGCTTATGTGCACAATCAAAATGTTTCAATAATGCTGACGATATAAGAGATATGGTCGACCCACTATCGATCAAAACGTCCACCGGAACACCCTGAATTACGGCTACAACAACGTCGCTTTTCGGGGTATCCTTATTTTCAACGCAAAAATTGATATTGTTCTTGTTTCGTGCCTCTGATTTTTGCTTTGCAAAACATTGATCCATTTTGTGACCATGCTTTTTGCAATATTAACAAAGCTCCGATTTAAATGACGTAGAAGGCTTAGAAACACCGGAACCGTTAAGGTTAGGGGTCTCATTTGAATCTGTTTTTATTTTCTTGCAAAAAGCCTGTTTATGTCCGCGAAGCCCACAAGAAAAACACTTGCCCTCTTCCAACTTTCGTTTTCTATTTTGTGTACTCGGACTTGAATTATTTTTATTATTTTTCGAATTATTATGCAAAGTGGATTGAGGACGAGTCCTAGAAGTGGAATGTTTCACATAAATCGAAAGAAAACCGACTAAATCCTGAGGCAATAATTTAGCATTTGTGGCTGACGCTTTAATGTGGGGATCGGTGATACCGCGTATCACAATTGCCGAAATAAGTTCGTCACTGAGTCCACGAACAACACTTAGCCGAAGCAGTGAGCGTCGAGCGTAGTCAGCGTACGTGGAATAATTATCTGAATTTGTTGACATAACTTCATACAAAATGTTTGCAATATCTGGCGTTTTCGGGCATAACGGTGTAAATTCCTTTTTGAAATTACTCCACGTACGATCACTCGTAACCCACTCGCGTAACCACATACGAGCATCACCCTTCAAACAATTTCCTATTCGCGCAAGACACTCGTGATCACTCCAATTATTTGACAATTTTGCACGGTCAACTTCCTCACACCAGTCACTAATGTTGTGTAAACTAGGATCCAAACAAGATATAAAATAATTTTGGTCAGATCTCACCCGATTACTGATGGAACAAATAGCATCCACAATGCGATCTGTTACCGACACCTCACTGGCAGCCACAGGTGGTTGCATCGAGGTTTCAACCGAGGGGCCGGCACGAAATTTGGCTGCCGATTCGGAGGTCATCGTTGGCAAAGGCGGCGTATGCGATCGCAGCGTCTGCGCAGACCGCCCCAGTAACTGTATCGTTACGTGGGTAGAGCAAGAACTCTCGCGTCGCCGCTCCGACGTCCGCATGGCGCCACTCTGGCGCGTCCGCCTGGCGCCGCGCTGTCGGTAACGGCGGCGGCGAGCAGCGCCCGCGTCGCGGAGAGCCACGCGAATCTCGCCTCTCCGGTGACTGTCTCGAACGTGCCGATGATATGGTCGTCTGATTTTCTAACGCTTGTAAACGAGCTCGCATCATTTTTATTTCCCGCCTAAGATCTCGGTCCGGGGTACGGTCCCGATACCTACTACGTCGCTTACTTGGTTTTCGACTATGAGAACGGCTTCCGCGTCGTACGTGATCCGACATTTTGAGCAATTAATACGAAACTAAAACGGAAAACAAACGAAAATGGATAGTGGCTACGATCCCACTTCTGATTTTGTAAATGAAATAACGATTTAATTTTTTAAAAAAACAATTATCACAAACAAACTTTTAATCAAATAATTTCAAAACAAAACTGGGCATAGGCTATTTTCTAATAATTAAATGCAAATTTAAAAATAAAACTAAAAATGTCGGTCACGCAATCAATCACTATCAACACGATGTGTACGCGTCGACGGCTCTCGGGCCAAATGGGCATGTCGCTGGGTGGCGCTGCCTTTTATAGGGGCAGATTTGTTTTCATATCTTCTCCTCCAATACTATATTAAATAAAAAAGTTTCTGTTTCCCTGGATGTACTGGTTTGCCCTCTCATTAACTATGAGATTGAGTGTTCTTAGCGTAAAATAGCAGCTTAATGGTACCTTGTTTCATATGGTGAGTGTAGAGAAACAGAGTCTTTTTACGGGAAATGAGGCATTTCATTTTAAACAAGAATAGAATGTAGAGATGTCCATGTGCTACAGTATACACTTACTATCAGGTAGACTGTGTATTCGTTTGTCACCATTATTCTATAAAAAATATGAAATGGGTGGTCGGTTGTCTTACCGCAAATAATTTGTAATGAACTATTTTACATTTTGCAGTAACAGAAGAAGACAAAATGGATGCAAATACAGAAGAGGAATCAAAAACGGAAACCGTGAAGGAAACTGAACCGGAAGACGTGAAAGAAAACTTGGAATCATCAAAAGAAAGTACAACAGAAGAAATTACAAACAATGAATCACAAGATGTGGAAATGAAAGACCCTGTAGAAAAGGCCGAACATTCCTAGTAATGGACTATCGCTTAACCATCTGTCTGTAGAGAAACTGTCGTTATTAAATTACAAAAATAATATATAAGGTCCAGGTGTAGAGAAACATGATAATGTGGTTAAAGAAAACTTTTTATATCAATAAAGTATGCAACAGTCCAATAAGTTCACTTATGAACATTTTCTTTTCTTTTTAGTGTTTTGTGAGAGTTAAAGGCATGAACAGCATATAGGTTGATCTAATTGATCTAAATCATATATATGAAAACATAAAGGTTACAACCTATATACGTCCCACTGCTGGGCACAGGCCGCCCCTCATTTCTGAGAGGGTTTAAGGGCAAGGAAATGTCCGCCGCGCTGCTCCAATGTGTGTTGGTGAACTTTACATGTCTTCGAAAAATTTTTTCCTTATCCCTCGCATGCAGGTTTCCACACGATGTTTTCCATCAACGTCGAGCATGTGGTAAATCAGCACTTAAAATTGCAATTAACAATTTCATTGGTGCCGGCGGGAATCGAACCCGGGTTACTCGCGTTCTGTTATATTTACAGCGAGCGTTAACCATCTGAGCTTCCACGGCTCTTATATCTTATGTAAATGTAACATTTGAATAAAGTTGCCAAGTATGAGATAGATAACTATGGCAATACAAAACATTAATAATCTTCTACCAATATGCTATGTATTGAATACGATTCAAAATTAAATTGCGTTACATAGAAAGAAGAGCAAATTTCCTAAGTTTCGGCCCGTACTCATCCTTGTAGGACTTAGACCATTATCTACGAACATTGTTAAAATACCATTTTTTTATTTTATTATAAATAATATTTTATTAAAAGTATGAACCCAAGTGCAGTGATCATATACATTTAGGCTTTAGGATATTCATACACAATACATTTACCCCTTCTTAATTTTTGAAAATTCATGTCCGCCATATTTATTTTTATTGATCTCATAATGAAGTCGTATGTTACCCGTGATATTAAGTCTTTAAGCTTATAATATTATACTGTGTAGTGGCAGTGTAAGGATATTCACTATGGATATATCATCCCGTGGGTGTCGTAAGAAGCAGAAACCAGGAGATGTGCAGCAGTCTTGTCACTCTGCAGCGGTTGCCAATCCGCCTGTCAAGCATGGCAGCTGTAACAAGTATCTACCTTATGAGGCAATGTTTGGGGAGGCCTATCATCAACAGTGGACTTAGATAGACTTATGATGATGATGGTGCTGATAATGAAGCTTATAATTAGTAAAAACTCTGTCCCATACGTTAACGCCATACTATCATATGTCCAAATCTGCACAGCTCCACTAAATGTTACAAGTCATGGCCCGGATCCACTTGCATCGGTCAACTTCCTGGATATTTCATCAAATCTAGGAGGTCGCCCTATTTTCACCATGTTTATCAGTACGAAGCTGCCACCCGAGAACCTTTTATCTTTACCGGTAGTAGTTTCGAGCTATGGACTACAAACTGTTGCTTCATGTTCTGCTGCAAATTGTGTCATGCATTTGTCCTTTAAATAGATCGCTGAGCAAAACCAGCAGTGAAGGATCTTGTCTCAAACCCGTCAGTTGTCACTAACAACATAAATTAAGAGTACATTTTTTTTAAGATTCTTAGGTATACCAGACGGGAAGATTGTGTTGTAGTTTTGCGCGATCACTGCGTATTCTGTTGGTAGAGTTTCTTAAATTGTGCTTACAGATCGGCCCAACAAACGCTAAAGAACAACATTCGGCATTGACTGATTGAAGGCGGAGTGCTGGTTACTTTAAAAAAAATATTGTCGACACCGAATAAAAAGTAAACTGTTACTGACTCTTGCAAATACGCGGGAGGTTAAAATATATATTTGTAGTTCTAAATATACACTATAAACCAATTAAGTAAGCAAAAGATGCGCGGTGCTTTTACATCATATAAACAATGGAAAAATACTTTAATAGGTAAATATACTTAATAATTACCGTCTAACGCCAACGAAATAATGTTAACGATAATGCTTAACCCATAGACCACCCAGCCTACGAGACATAAAACTATTACGATTCTCTAATTAAATTAGGGTATGTTCCGAAACGTTTCCAGTATACTGTTGAATACGAATGACGTCATCAATTGACGCTATATTGTACTGGCGTGCCGCCGTCATATTGTGCCGGATATCCGGTCATATTAAAACAATTTTTAATTATGTGTACGAAAATGAAGCATGCCAGAATTTGTTTTTGTTTATTCAAATACAAAAAATTATAGAATAATTGTTGGATCTCCATTAGGAGGATATATTGATTTTTGGAGCATAAAATAATCGCCTACACTTTTCCAATATGGCGCAAATGTATGACGTCATATACACTGGACAGTACACTGGGTTCTATAATTGATAGAATCAGGCGTTACTTTGCGGTAATCCATTATAATAAAAAATAAAAATATAAATTTCTTTGAACCTTCCGCTAAATAAATACAATGATGTGTCTTACCTGGATTGAAGAGCACCTCCCGCCCTCCCTCAATTGCATGCACTAGCTCCGTCACCACTAGTCCCAGCACCACTACTCCCAACACCACTATTCCACCAAGAAAAAGGGAAAAAAAAGGTAAGACACACCATCGACGATAACACGACACGTGTTTCGCCTCTACACGAGGCATCTTCAATAATGTAGACTCTACTGCGGCTGACCGCTAAGCGGTATATCTTAGGCGGGAGATGCTCTTCAATCCAGGTAAGACACATCATTGTATTTATTTAGCGGAAGGTTGCAAAGAAATTTATATTTTTATTTTTTATTACTGGGTTCTATTTTGGAACATACCGGTTACATTAGGTTAGAAGAAAGAAAGGTGTGCGGGCGGCGCGGGAGACGTAACTTAGAGATGTCACATCCATATATCGATATCGACAAAGTCTAGGAACAGGTAGGTAATAAATTATAATACTAATAACAAAATTATTTATTTTTAACTGATCATTTAGCTTAACATAAAACAAATAACTTATTAAGGGTATGTTCCGAAATACAACCCAGTACACTGGCAAATGCGAATAACATCATTGATTGACGCCGTATTCCACCATATTCGATAAAAAGAGTCACCAATATGGCGTCGATTTATGACGTCATTTGCATTGGCCAGTGTAATGGGTTGTATTTCGGAACATACCCACAGACGTGTTTTAAAAAATTAAATAATGCCTAATATCAAATTAATATAAACAAATGAATGATGCGTAAAATGCACCGTTAAATACATGTAAAGTTCTTGAAAATATATACATGTCATTTACAACGCTAATCGCTTACCATAAATCCGTTAAGAGCGGAATGTGTCTAATAAAGACACAAACATAATACATACGAGGGCGACACTGAAAATTTCGGGAATCAAGGAAGTGACACAACATTACTATTTATGACACAACATTACTATTTAAAAATGTATTTATTGCTTTTCGAAGTATTCTCCGCGAAATTTGATACATTTTTCAATACGATGGAACCAATCATTGAAGCAACCATTCCATTCGGAAGTTGGGGTCTCCAAAATGGCCGTTTTGTAGGCGTCCACAGCTTCTTCAGGTGATGAAAATCTCTGTCCACGCAATTTATTCTTTATTTTAGGGAAAGTATAGAAATCATTAGGGCTTGTCGGGGCTGTACGGCGGATGGTCTAATAATTCTATGTTTTCTTGCTCTAAAAACTCTTTTGTTCTGTGTGCGGTGTGAGAACTCGCATTGTCGTGATGGAGGATGACGCGGCGGTTGCAGTTCTCTTTACGGAGTTCAGAAACGACCTGTGGCAAACAAATGCTGGCATACCATTCTTCAATAACCGTTCTTTGTCCCTCAAGAGGAATAGTCGTTACATAGCCGGTTTTGGAGACAAACGTGGCCACCATTTTTTTTTGCAACACTCCGTGAACGAACAATTTTTGTTGGCTTTAACTCATTTTCGAACACCCAAACTCGTGACTGGTTTTTTGTTTCGGCTTCGTATGCGTATATCCAGGATTCGTCACCTGATACGATATTGTATACAGCATTTGAGGATCCTGCGTGGAATCTTTCGAGAGTTCTGACGCACCAAGTAACGCGAGCCGCTTTTTTGCTCTTCACAGAGCGAATGCGGTATCCATCGGGAAAACAACTTTTTTACACCTAATTGTTCATGCAAGATTATTTGTATTTTACACATGCTAATGTCTAAAGTTGCCTGAATTTGGCGGTATGTCACATGTCGATCTTCCTCAATCAGCTTACTCACAGCATCAACGTTTTCTTGGGTGACTGCAGGTTTTGGACGACCTTGACGGGGATCACGTTGAAATTCAGCAAACCAGCGATAAATTGTGGTTTTGGATGGGGCTTCATCACCAAATGCAGAAATCATCCGGTCAACACACTGTTTTTGTGTTAAACCACTTCGAAAATCATAATAAATCATCGCTCTTGAATTTTCTCGAGTCAATTCCATTTTCTCAACGACTAAACAAGTTTGACAAAACCTTGTGACAAGACCGAGAATCTCTTTTTAAATAAATAAATGGTATTCGATTTTTAAAACCAAGGAGTTTTCAATTAAAAAGATTTTAATATGACAGGAACAGTAGAAATATTCCATTCCCGATACTTTTAGTGCAGCCTAGTAATCTAGAAGACCATGACTGTTTCAGCCTCGGCCGCGAAAGTCAGGTGAAAATATCTACATAAGGTAAAATTAACGTAATACAAAAATGTAAACGCATGTATGTAATCATTTTCTTCGATCCTTCATTTCCATAAAGCAGTCAGGAGTAAAAGTGTTTCGAGCTAAATGTGGAGTTTGAAGTCGGAAACCGGTTTTCATCTATACTATAACTATATAGGCTCTGGTTGAGCAGATGAAGTACAGAAATTTGTCGCGTTTCATTACATGTCTCGTAGGCTGGGTGGTCTGTAGCTTTTTTTTATAGAAGAGGGCAAACGAGCATACGGTTCACCTGATGTTAAG